CTTGGATTATGTTGAATCTTATTTGCTACTTATTTAAGTATTGTTTATGTTTGATGGCTTTGTATCAATACTAATGTTATTGAAGTTTCTGCATAATTGTTTTGCCTTTTACTTTCGATTCAAATTGTTTATAAATATAATTTTTGAATTGAATGTTTTCCCAATTTATACATTTGTTGTTCTCATATGAGATAGAGGTGTTGATCATATTTGACTATTCCTTTTTTGTTCCTTTGGTAAATTTTGACATTTGATAAATAACAGATTATTGAATGGATCAAAGAAGAATAGGATCGAAATGAGAAAATAGTGAAGAGAGAGCTTTTGAACTCTGATTTGGGCCTATAATATCATTTCGGAAAGAGATTGACGAGATGAGTAGAACTCACCACCACGTTGTGACATACGATAGATTGTAGTCATCTAAATTCGTTTAGGACTCGAAAACTACTTTAAAGTTTTAGTGCTATTTCTGTCATTTAGTTTATTTTGGATTCTTTTCAATTTTAGTTTGTTTAAACATTGTTTTCATTAATTTTAGTCATATTAAACTAGGTTTTCATGTAAACCTTTATAAATAATGGGTTATTTTCTTGTTTTATTCATCTTTTTATTAATAAAATTCGTGACTTTATTCTTTTATAATTTGGTAGATTCCAAATTTCGATTTCTTAAGGTTTTCTCTTGAATTTCTTGTTTCGTGCTACTTCAAGTAGTATTAGAGCCGACTTTTCCATCTTTATATTTTTAATTCATAACCATGGGTGGTGCACCAATTATTAGAGCAAATTTGGATGTAACAAATCGATGGTTGACGATGTCACTATTTAGATCGAAGAGAATAGTCAACGATTTATGCGAGGTGTTGGAAACAATGGCAGAATGAACAGTGGGCAATTAACAATGAACGGATTGTTGAGCCTGTAGTTCGAGGCAGAAATAATATGAGGCATGCAATAGAAGATAGCGAATCGAAGTCACATAAGAAGTTTAAAGCGTTACCACGTAACCTGAAACATCAAAATCGAAATACATTTGATGATTATCGAATTAAAGAAGAATTCCCTCGTTCTTTGGTAACATAAAGATCAGTAACTTCTTAGATTAGTTGGTAGGTTGAAAGATTCTTCAAAATTATGGGTGTTTCAGAGGACAAGATGGTGGCATTCCATTTGAAATCTACAACAACAGTATGGTAGGATCAATTACAAAATGCTCGAAGGAAATAGGGAAAGAGTCAGATTCAAAAGGAAGATAAAGCAATCAATGATGGATCGATTTCCACCTATAGATTATGAATAGATTCTATATCGTACGCATTTGGGATACATGCATGGCAATCTGAACTTATCATATTATACTAATGAATTTATGCAATTGATAGAGCAGAACAATATGTCAAAATCTAAAAACTAAAGGATAACTAGGTATACCGGTGGTTTAAAGATGGATATTCAAGACAGAATTGGGTTGCAAAATATTTGGACCTGTTGCAGTAAGCCATTAACATTGAGATGAAAGCTGAGAAAATTGAAGCTAATAAAAGGGCAATTTAGTATAGGAGGCCTTCACATGTAGAAACATCATCATCCATTTCTTCAAACAAAAGAAAGGTCCTGCGACAAACCTTAGCCAGTCCTAAAAGGAGTAGTGTTGACAATAGTGGTCATTTTGGGAACAGAGGTCAGATGAAGGTGTACTTCATAATGAAAACCCATATGCTAAGCCCACAGGAGATATTTGATATAGATGGCACAAGCTTTGTTATTGTTCCAATACCTGTCCTAAAAGAAAGCGGGTCAGTTTGGTAGAACTGGAGACAATAGACGAGGAGGAAGATACTAACATGGAAGATGAGCATACATGAGTAGAGTTTGTTTGTGAGAAAGGTGTAGAAAGGCTTTCTTTGATACTGCAGTGAATTCTTTTATCGTCTAAGGATTGCATCTTAAGTTTACTTTGTTCTATCAAGAATAAAGTGTGTGAAACGATTGTGGACAATAGAAGCTACGGGAACTTTGTATCATAGAGGTTAGTAAATTTGTTGAAATTATCAACTGAAAACCATCCTAAAACTTGTTCTCTTGGTTGGGTAAAGAGAGGTCCTTATGTTCAGGTTGCTAAGACTTGTAAAGTATATGTTTCCATTGGTAAGTATTATAAGGATGAAATTATGTGTGAAGTTATAGACATGGATACTTGCCATATCCTATTGGATCATTTATGACAGTTTGATGTAGATTCAATTATCAAATGGTAAGATATATGGTACTCTTTTCATGGAGAAGATATAAGATCGCTATGATTCCTATCATACAGACAGAGAAGACTACTTAATAATGAATTGAGAGTTTCCTTACCCTTACAAATAATGAGAAAGAGATTGCAGAGTCTGTAAAATAATATCCAATTATAATTAAGGGGCTTTTGACAACAAATAAAGAAGGTGGGGGTATTCCATCTGAGGTGCAAGAAATATTGACTAAATTTGAAGATTTGATATTACCGAGTTAACTCCTATGAAGAATATTCAGGACAAGATTGATTTGGTACCTAGGACTAGCCTTCCAAATTTCCTCATCACCGCATGATTTCGAAGAAGAATGAGATTCCAATTGAGAATATTGAGGAGCTGTTGAGGAAAGAATTCATAAGGAAGAGTATGAGTCTGTGTGATGAGTCTGTGTGCAATGCCTATCCTTTTAGTGCCAAAAAAGGATGGGTATATGGGTTGACAGTCAACAAGTTAATAGTAAAGTACATGTTCTCCATTCCACGGTTAGAAGACAAGTTAGATATGCTTGGGGGTTCTAAGGTCTTTTCAAAAATAAACATTCGAAGTGGTTATCATCATATCCGTATCAAACATAGGGACAAATAGAAGACTGCTTTCAAGAGTAAGGTTGGACTTTGCCCGATTGATGATGTCATTCGAACTTTCAAATGCTCCCAAGTACCTTCATATGGGTGATAAACCAGGTTCTTTATCCTTTTAATGGGCCTTTTGTTGTGGTTTATTTCAATGGTATACTCATTTAATGCAACTCCAAGTAGGATTGCCTAGTTCAGTTTAGGCAAGTCCTAGAGGTCTTGAAGGAAAAGCAGTTGTACATCAACTTGAAAAGTGCATTTTCTATGCACATAAATTATTGTTTCTAGGCCTTGTGGTTGGTGAAAATGGTTTGCATGTGGATGAAAAGAAGACAAAAGTAATCCGAGATTGGCCAACACCAAAATCAATTTCTGGAGTAAGAGTTTCCATGATTTGACAACTTTTTATAGGCAATTTATCGAGCATTTTAGCACTATTGTGGCACCACTCACCATATGTTTGAAGAAAAGAAAATTTAGTTAAGGAGAGGAACAAGATAAGAGCTTTACTTTCATCAAAAAAAAGTTGTGAACAGCTCCAGTATTAGTTTTGTCGAGTTTCAAGAAGATATTTGTCAAGCTTCAAAAAGAGACCCATGGCTTTCTTTTCAAAAAAGTTGAGTGATGCTAAGTAGAAATGGAGTACCTATGAGCAAAAATTGAATAAAGTTGTGAGAGCTTTGAAGTAATGGAAACACTATCTTGTAAAGAATGATTTTGTGTTGTTCATCGATCATCAAGTCTTGAAGTTTATTCATAATCAGAAAAATATCAACGTGATGCATGCTAGATAGGTGACTTTTCTCCAGAAATTTTCTTTTATGATTAAACATAAATTTGAAAGTACAACTAGAGTTGTAGATTCCCTGAGTCTAAAAACTCATGTATTGGTCACATTATCATAGGAAATAGTAAGGTTTGATTGCTTGAAAAAAATGTATACAGATGATATTGACTTTAAGGAGGTTTAGAGCAAGTGTGCGAATCAGGAATCAATAGGGAATTTTTATATAAATGATAGGTATTTGTTCACATGTAACCATCTTTATATTTTTTGTTTCATCTCTAAGTGTAAAGTTGATTCGAGTGATTGATGGAGGTGTAAATGGACACTTGGGCTGTAAAATGACAATAGGCAGTCTGAAGGCTAGGTATTATTGGCCACAGTTGAAGTGAGATGTTGGAGTTGTAGTTAGAAAATGTTATGCTTTTCGGGTGTCAAAGGATCAAGTACAGAATACCATGTTGTACATGTCACTTACTGTCTCTCAGGGCATATGGCAAGATTTTGCTATAGATTTTGTTCTAGGATTATCTCATACTCAATAGAGAGTAGATTTTGTTTTGTGGTGGTTGACAAATTCTCCAAAATGGCTTACTTCATAGCTTGTCGGAAGACTTCAGATATATCAAGTATTGCCAAATTGTATTTCAAGGAGGTTGCTAGATTAAATGGAGTTTCCAAGCCTATCACATTGAATCGGGATACAAACTTTTGGGATGCCTTTGGATGACATTGTGAAAGTTGTTTGAAACCAATTTGAATTGAAGTAGCACTACCCATTTCTAAACTGACGGATAGACTGAGGTCACTAACCATACCCTTGGAAATATAGTTTGAGTTGTTAGTGGAAATAAGCATTTCTAAACTGACGGACAGACTGAGGTCACTAACCATACCCTTGGAAATATAGTTTGAGTTGTTAGTGGAAATAAGCCCAAACAATAGGATCTTGCATTGCCTTAGGTAGAGTTTGCATACAACAGCGCATTTCATACTACAACAAGCAAGTCTCCATTTGCTACTATGTATACAGAGGTTCCTTACCAGATGGTGGATTTAATGAAGTTGCCTGAAGGCAATAGTAAGAGTGCTGTTGTTGAACATCTAGTAGAAGTGGTTTTAGCAATCCATAATGAAGTAAAACAAAGGTCGAAGAAGACTAATGCAAAATATAAGGAAGTAGTAGATTCAAATCGATGGGATAAACAATTTCTGGAAGGAGATTCAATAATAGTCTTTCTGATAAAGGAAAGATTTCCCGTTGTGTCTTTCAAAGTACTTAAGCGAATTAATAACAATGCCCACACTATTGATTTGCCAGCTTCTCTGGAGATATACATTTAATATGGCAGATACATACGAGTTCCATGAAAATGATGAGCCTCTTTATCCAAAATATAACTCGAGGTCGAGTTCGTCAAAGGTAGAAGGGACTGGTGTATAACGGATTGTTGAATGGATCCAAGAAGAATTTGATCGAAATAGGAAAAAGGCAATAGTATAGAGAGAACATCTATACTCCGGTTTGGGAGCATAATATCATTCTGGAAAGAAAACTAGAAGAAATTTGCATGTTGATATATACATTTTTTTTACTTTTTAATCACACATTCTTTAAAAATGTCATTTTTCACAGAACTTATTCTAAAAAATCTACATCAAACATGCCCTTAATAATATTTTAGCTTTCATTTGGAAGAATTTATAAATAGATAGAAATATATTAATAGTCGTGGATTGGTTATTTTTATTATGTACATTTAGTGATTAAATATAAAAGAATTCGAAGATTAAACCCTTATTTGATTGGGATTAAAACTGTATTTTTAGTAGATTTGATGAAATGTATAGTTGAAAAATTGTAGATTCTATGAAATATGTGGTTAAAATTAATTATTGACTTTGAATTAGATTAATTTTAATCTTCTCACCAAGCTAAAATTAAGTTTTGAGAACTTGTGAGTTATGAAATGCTGTGATTGTCAAATGCAAGTTATAAATAATTTAATTTTATGATCACTAATTATATGTAATAACGAGATAAGAATATCATTGTTATGGATAAAAAAAGTACATATTGCATTTCAATTATGTAGAAGTTGATTCCACAAATTAAAATGTTGAGATATTTGAATGTAACTTTGATGTCTAACTGAGAAAACAAGTATTACATGATCCAAAATAGAGATTATATGCCGATATGACCATCTCAGTATCAGTAATTGATCTCTAATCCATTTGAGTTAGCGATTCTATTTATCTTATCTCACTATGATGATACCAGAATAATAATTTTTTTGTATGGTATTCCTAATTGAAAATGATGAATCACACACGAAGTGTGAGTTGTGTAAGGCAAATTAGGATTGTAATAAAGTTTAGTATTTGACACCAGTGGAATTATTTATTTGTTGATGGTTTGTTAATTAAATTGATTTAATTTATTGATCAGATTTATTGATTGCACCTAATGGGAGAGATGTGACACACAATTAATGTTTCCGCCATGTTACAACAACAATGCTTCGATACTAATGCCCACCAACAGAGACATTGGCTTATTTTTATCCCATTTTGATTGAGATTTAGGAGTGTTAAATAGGTTAGATTGAGTCGCTTAATTCTGTCCATTATGTGAGCCAACTTGACTTCATCTATGAAATGAGTTGAGCACGAGCCGACTCATTTCACAAAACTTGGACTCGACTCTACTGCCAACTTACTCGTAAGTGGGGCGACTCTGCTGCTACTTTTTAAAAATAAAAAATAAAAACTGCACTTTCACTACCTAAAGTATAACGAAGACAAGTTGTAAGGAGCCCCCAAGGCACATCTCCAAGTGGTAAAAGAGGATGATGGAGACTGCCAACTTGCTCGTAAGTGGGGCGACTCTGCTGCTACTTTTTAAAAATAAAAAATAAAAACTGCACTTTCACTACCTAAAGTATAACGAAGACAAGTTGTAAGGAGCCCCCAGGGCACATCTCCAAGTGGTAAAAAACGAGGGTGGAGAAATTCAGCTTTACTTGAGGCTGCTGCGTCAAGAGTTCGAATCCTAAAATATGGATTTGGCTCTTGGGTAAGTACAAGTGTACAAGCAGCCTTCCACCCTATACCCTTGGAGGCATAACCTGCGGTTTACCTCCCTCACGATGCTCCAGGGCAGGGGTGGTGGGGGACCCTTAAGGTTAGAGTTTAACCTTTTTAAGACAAGTTGTAAGGAAAAGGTAAATGTAATATTTTATTAAAAGAATGATATAGCATATTCATTTAAAAATAGCATTACTCTTTATGAATAATACTATCTAGCATCACTAGTGCTATAACACCAATCTAAGTGATGCTGTGTGATATACTCAATGAAAGGAGAAAATAAGTGACTTATTTAATTGCACTTCTCATTTAATGCCAAATTAGCAACACCTACAGAAGTGTTTTAACAAAAGTGGTGCTAAATATTATTACTTTTTATGAATAATGCTATTTAGCACAACTGGTATTATAACACACATCTAGGTGGTACTATGTAATAGGTTCAATAAAAGGTGGAATTAAATTAATTATTTAAATGTAATTCTCATTTAATGCTACATTATGTCACCTAGACGATGTTTTAACACAATTGGTGCTAAATAGGGTCACTCTTCATGGATAATGCTATCTAGTATCACTAGTGCTATAACATCAATCTAGGTAGTGATATGTGATAAACTCAACAAATAGTAAAATTAAGTAACTCATTTAGTTGTACTTTTCATTTAATATCACATTAGCATCACCTAAAATGATGTTTTAACACTATGGTGGTAAATAGCCTTACTCTCTATGAATAATATTATCTAACACCACTTATTCTATAACACCAGTCTATGAGGTGTTGTGTGATAGGCTTAACGACAGTGTAATTAAGTGATTCATTTAATTATACTTCTCATTTAATACCACATTAGCATTACTCTTTTTGAATAATGTTATCTAGTACTACTAATATTATAACACCGATCTAGGTGATGATATGTGATAGGCTCGACGAAAAGTAAAATTAAGTTGCTTATTTAATTTTACTTATCATTTAATGTCAAATTAGCTCCATCTAAACTGATATTTTAACATTAGTGGTGCTAAATAGCATTATTCTTTCTCAATAATGCAATCTAGCACTACTGACACTATAACACCAATTTGGGTAGTACTATATGATAGGCTAAATTAAATATGAAATTAAGTGACTCATTTAATTGTACTTTTCATTTAAGGTCACAATAGAGTTACCTAGACTGGTGTTCAAACACTAGTAATGCGATTACTCTATATAAATAATGCTATCTGGCACCACGATGCTATAACATCGGTCTGCTATGTGATAGGCTCAATGAAATATGAAATTAAATGACTCATTTAATGTCACATTAACATTTATCTTTATAAAGAGTGTTGTCTAGCACCGCTGGTGCTATAACGCTAGTCTATGTGGTACTATGTTATAGGCTCAATGAAAAGATGAAATTAAATTACTCATTTAATTGTACTTCTCATTTAATGTTACATTGGAGTCAACTAAACTAACAATGTTAAATAGAATCACTCTTTGTGAAGAATGATATCTAGCACCATTGGTGTTTGTAACACCAGTCTGGTGATGCTAGGAGGCTTAATGAAATGTGGAATTAATTTACTCGTTTAATTGTACTTTTCATTTAATGCACATTAGCGCCACCTAAACTAGTGTTTTAACACATTGTAGGTAGTGTTATGTGTTAAGCTGAATGAAATGTGAAATTAAGTAACTTATTTAATTGCATTTCTCATTTAATGTCACGTTAACGTAACCTAAATTAGTGTTTTAACACCAATCGTGCTAAATATCATAACTCTTTATGAATAATAATAATAATAATAATATCTAGCACAACTGGTGCTAAGCGATAAGCACAATGAAATGTAGAATTAGTACTTCTCATTTAATATCACATTAATACCACCTCGATAGAGTTTTAAACACCAGTTAAATAGAATTACTCTTAATGAATAATGCTATCTAACACAGTTTGTGCTATAACGTCGGTCTAGGTGGTACTATGTGATAGGCCCAATGAAATGTGGAATTAAGTAACTCATTTATTTGTACTTCTCATTTAATATAACATTAATACTACCTAGACATAACACCAGTGTTGCTAAATAGGGCTACTCTTTATGAATAATGCTATCTAATATCATTGGTGCTATGACACGTTTCTAAATGATGATATGCAATAGACTCAATGAAAGGTAAAATTAAGTGATTCATTTAATTATACTTCTCATTTAATATTACATTAGGAGCATTTATACTGTTGCTTTAACACTAGTAGTAGTAAATATCATTACTCTTTATGAATGTTACAATCTAGCACAATTTATGCTATAACATCAGTATAGGTGGTGATATGTGATATGCTCAATAAAGGACGTAATTAAGTGACTCATTTAATTGTACTTCTCATTTAATACCACATTAGCATTACCTTAAGTGGTATTTTAACATCATTAGTATTAAATAGCATTATTCTTTATGAATAATGATATCTAGTACCACCGATGTTATAACATTAGTCTAGGTAGTATTATGTGATAGGCTTCACGAAAGATAAAATTAAGCAATTCATTTAATTATACTTCTCATTTAATTCCACATTAGTGCCACCTAGACTGACATTACTTTTTGTAAATAATGTTATCTAGCATCATTTATGCTATAACAATAGTTTGGTGGTGCTATTTAATGGGCTTAATGAAATAGAGTATTAAGTAACTCATTTATTGTATTTCTTATTTAATGTTACATTAGAGCCACCTAGACTAGTGTTTTGACACCTATAGTGCTAAATAACTTTATTTTGTATAAATAATAATATTTAGCACATATGGTGCTAAAACAGCAGTGTAGATGGTGCTATGTGATAAACTTAATGAAATGTTAAATTAGGTGACTCATTTAATTTTACTTCTAATTTAATGTCATATTAATGCCGTCTAACTGATATTTTAATATCAGATGTGCTAAATAACACTAGTCTTTGTGAATAATCCTATTTAGCGTTAATGGTGCTATAACATTACTTTAGATGGTATTATGTGACAGTCTCAATGAAAATGTGAAATTAAGTGACTTATTTAATTGTACTTCTTATTTAATGTCACATTATAGTCAACCAAACTGGTATTTTAACACTAGCAGTGCTAAATGAAATTACTCTTTATGAATAACGTTATCTAGCACCGTTGGTGCTTAACACCAGTCTAGGTAGAGCAATGTGGAATTAATTGGCTCATTTAATGCCACATTGGTGCCACCTAAATTGGTGTTTTAACACTTAGTGTAGGTGGTACTGTGTGATAGGCTCCTTGAAAGGTGAAATTAAGTAACTTATTTAATTGGACTTCTCATTTAATGTCACATTATCTAGATTGGTGCCTAAACACAAATAATGCTAAATAGCATTACTCTTTATGAATAATGCTTTCTAACACTACTAGTGCTATGACGTCGATGTTGGTAAAGCTACGTAATAGGCTCAATGAAAAGTGGAATTGAGTGGTTCATTTAATTGTATTTCTCATTTAATGCCACATTGACGCCACCTGGACAGATATTTTAACAAAGTCTAGGTGGTGCTATATGATAAGCTCAATAAAAAGTGAAATTAAGTGACTCGTTTAATTGCACTTCTCATTGAATGTCACATTAGCATCACCTAATCTGGTGTTTTAACACCAATGTTGTTAAATAACATTACTCTTTATGAATAATGCTATGTAATGCTACCGGTGCTATGACATCTGTGTACATGGTGTATATGATAGGCTCAATAAAATGTAGAATTAAGTGATTCATTTTATTGTTTTTCTCATTTAATGTTATATTAGTGTCACCTAGTCAGGTATTTTGATACTTGTGGTGCTAAGGAGCATTCCTTGTAATGAATAATGCTATCTAACGTCACTGATGTTATAACATCAGTCTAGATGGTGCTATGTGATAGGTTTAATTAAAGGTGAAATTAAGTAATTCATTTAATTGTACTTCTGATTAATGCCACTTTAGTGTCACGTAAATTGAAATTTTAACACTAATGGTGCTAAATAGTATTACTCTTTATGTATAATTCTATCTAGCATCATTGATGCTATAACACCAGTATAGGTGGTGCTATATGATAGATTCAATAAAATATGGAATAATGTGACTCAATTAATTGTACTTCTTAATTGATACTACATTAGCGCCACTTAGGATGATGTTTTAACACCAGTAGTGCTAAATAGCATTACTATATAAATAAATCAATTGCTTCACATTCTAACTTGAACACTGATTGCACTCTGGTTTTCCAGGTAATATATCGTTTAATAAGCAATTTCTTTTATACTAATTAGTTCGATCTGATTTCTCCATCTATTTTTTGATCTACATATTAATATTTCTTTTTTATTGTTTCCTTCTCTGCATTATTTTTTGAAAAGGTAGTCATAGTGTTGAGAAACTCATCATGAAGGTCACGATTGTGAGCAGAAAGTATATCAAGCCTGGCATACCAACTCCCGAAAACCTCCGTACATACAAGATATCATGCACAGATGCGGTTATTCCAACAATGAATGTGGCTGGACTTCTCTACTATCCATCAAGCGATAACATTGAAAATGTAAAGAATTTGGAAAAATCACTTGCTCAAATATTGCCACAATTTTATCCTTTTGCTGGAAGATATATCAAGGAGAAACTTTTCGTTGATTGCAGCGACCAGGGTGCTGAATATGTAGAAGCTAAAGTCGACTGCGATCTCGTTGATATAATTGGCTCAAGAGTCCAGCCTGTGGAGTTAAATGATCTTCTTCCAGTCGATGTTGATGCAGCTGATGAAGCCACTGATCCAATTCTATCTATTCAAATAAACAAATTTAAATGTGGTGGAGTAACCATTGCTACGGCCATCTCGCATAGGGTTATTGATGCATTCTCACTTGGCACATTCTTATCGGCATGGGCAAAGGCGTGTCAAGGAGACAATAGTACTGAACCCATTATTCCAAAATTTGACTCCCCATTGAAATTTTTACCGGTTGAGAATTTAGGTAAGATTAATCGTGGAACCATAAAGACTAGGGATCCTACCACTATGACCAAGAGGGTTTTGTTCGATAAGAAGGCGATAGCAAATTTAAGAGCAAGAGTGAAGCACTTGTATGAAAAAAATGATCGTCCACCCTCCAGGGTTCTGCTTGTCTCTTCCTTTTTGTCAGAGGCTATCATGCGCTGTGATCGCATAAAACTTGGGAAATCGCGGGCTTGCCTCTTTTCACAGGAAATTAACATTCGTGAAAGAACAGTTCCACCTCTATCAAAATATTCTTGTGGAAACTTCGCATCACGAGGATTGGTAGAATGCAGTGCAGAAGAAACCAAGAACTTGGACTTTGAACACTTGGTTCCTCTATTGGGTAATGCTATCGAGAAAGCCACTTTAGATTGTTCCAAGATCTTATCAAATTATGAGGATGCACGCAAAATCCTCTTTGATGCCATCGCTGGTGCAATTTTAAAATTACATGATGGAAACTCCAATTCTATATGGTTTACTGACTGGTCTAAGTTTGGATTTTACAATAATGATTTTGGTTATGGAAAACCTATTTGGACAAGCTGTGTAAATCCTCGAATAAGTAACGTTGTCATAATGATGAATACCAAAGAGGACGATGGAATTGAAGCATGGGTGAATTTAAGTGAAAAAGACATGTCTTATTTCAAACAAGACGACGAAATCAAAAGGTTGACCACTTAATGTTTGGAGAAACCATCAATTGTGATAATCAAATGAAGTGCTCTATAGTTTTAATTCTACTTCCTTTAGTTTCTTGGATTATGGTGAATCTTGTTTGTTACTTATTTAAGCATTGTTTGTGTTTAAGAGTAAATAGGTTTAGCTTTACTTCACTAATTTATTTCGACATTTTTTAGTAAATCCTAAATCAATACACGATAAGTGATGTAAATTTTTAAATGACATATTTGCACTTTCTAATAAAAGCAATATGACAAAATGTAAAAAAGAATTAATGGACAATATGCAAAAGATAGTCGAGTGAGAATAATAAATCTCAGCTGTCTCAAGATTAAGTCCTAAAATTGACGGTTTATATCTTGATCTCTAAGATTGGAGTACACTTAATTATTTTGGGTGATTGAATTGGAAAATGGAGAGTAAGGGTGGCGATGGGTCGAGCGGCTAGATCCTTAGACACTCAAGCTCAAATTGTATTCACAAACAAGACTCGAGCTCCACACTTGTCGAGCTTGGGCTGACTCGCGAAATAATTGAGCTTGACTCAACTGATGGCTCATCTCAATACGAGCTTGAACGATTCATGACCCAATTCGGGATGTATTGACGTTACAAGCGGCTCGACTCGTTTATCACCCCTAATAGAAAGTCTATAGCAATTATCGACAAAGGCTCCTGTTGAACCGAAGTCTGCCCCAGGACTGCTCCAGTGGAGGCAAGTTTCCGAGCATTGAGACCTAGATAAACTGGATTTATGTTCTTATTATTATGAAATCGCGACCTCACGTTAGTTTGCATGCCCTTATTTCCTACTTTATTATTATTATATTATTCTTTGAAATTGATTAAAATAACTTTTTCTTTATCTTCGTTTTCAATCATACATTTGAAAAAAAAAAAAAAAATCAATTTTCATTCTTTTTATCAAACATTCTCTAAATAACTTTTCACAAAATCAACTTCACACAGAGTCATTGTATCTCTACAACATCGAATAAATTAATACCTGCCACTAAGGAATATACTTGATAATTAATTGACTTCCAAAAATTAAATTTACGTTGACGAAATAGGTATGTATATTATATACATGTTTAGTAAATAATTTAGAATAATACAATTGAATTAAGACTTGCACGTATGATTTTTAATACTGTAATTATAATGAGATTGTTTAGAATTTTACATTGAATATAAATTGAAATTATACTGGAACCCTTGAATTCATTCGATACTGATTACTATCTCCAAAAAAAAAAAAAAAGTTTTTCCCCTTTTTTTTTTTTTTTTTTTTTTTTTTTTTTTTTTTTTTTGGTGTAGAAAATAAATCATTTTTGTAACATAACATCAATTATAAGAAAAAATAAATAGCACAAGATGAGAACAGAGTCAGAAAAGTTAACTTAAGAGAGTTGCGAAAAAGATGTGCTGGAGTCTTGTGGCCTCCTCTTTGTGCATGTACTATCAACAAAGCATGACGACTCCAGGATAAAACATTTAAAACTCACGGTCAATTTTCCTTCTATGAATCCATCCACGGGAAAATAAAGAATAAGCCTTATCAAGTTACGAAAAACTATAAGAGAACACAGTATGAGAATATATAGAGTATTTTCAAGTTGGGTGTATCAAACAATAAAAAATGCGGTGAAAAATTCCAACCCACAATAATGAAAATTAATCCATTTGAATTAAGTTACAAATAAAATAATGAAATTTAGTTTTTGTATTAAATCTAAAAATTAAAATCAAAAACTAAAAATTAAAGTAAAAGAAACGCTGAAACTTTTTAATACAATTTTTTTTTTTTTTGGGGATAAGTTTGAAAATTATTTACAACAATCCTACACCAGGTTTAAACTTTCAAAATAAATAAGTATATATGTAATGACAACGTTATACTGTGCAATAGGTATAGGTATTTTCTCGACTTGAACCTCATTCAGTGATAATAATATTCATTTAAGAAAGCCATGGTGGACTAAGTTTTGAATTAGTTCCCCTTAACCAAATTTCAATTGTT